CGGCACTACAGTCAGCAAGGCTGGTCACGGGACAGACCCACCTGATGTCAGATGCCAGAGTCTCCTCTATTTCTCCTGCAGTGCTAGTTACATGGCCTCGCTGACTGTGGGTCACATGGTTATCTGTTTCCAGTGGAGCTGCTGTTGGCGCTCTGCTCCCCGCGCTGAGAGATGATCTTAGTCCAGAGATCCCCTGCTGGAATTACGGAGGCCATACGAAGGATTTGGTAGATGGAAATTTATTTATTTATTTATTTATTTATTTATTTATTTATTTATTTATTTATTTATTTATTTATTTATTTATTTATTTGTAATTCTCACCAGAGGATATTTTTCTGTTGATTTTTAGATGAGTGGAAAGGAGGGAGGGAGGGAGGGAGAAACATCGATGTGAGGGAGACACATCGATTGACTGCCTCCTGCATGACCCCGACCAGGGCCAGGAATCGAATCTGCAACCCAGGTACATGCCCTTGACCGAGAGTGGAATCCATGACCCTTTGGCCCGCAGGTCGATGCTCTAACCGCTGAGCCCAACCAGCTAGAGTGGTAGATGGAAATCTTAAAAGCAGAGTGAAATGCCTATTGTCATCGGAATTCCATTACGAAGATGGCTTTTAGGTAGGATGGTCAAGTATGAGCTAAAAACCATTAAGCTCAGGATATGTATGTGTTTGACTGTGTTTCTGCTGCCCATCGTTATAATACCTGGATACTGAAAGGGATGTGAAAAGTGAAGGAATTCTGCACACAGACCAGGCACCAGCCAGAACTGGTCTTTCCCTCCCCTGGCTTCAGTGATCTGACTGGTGAGTTAACCAGCATACAGGGCTCCGCACAACTTTAAGGCAAACCCATGGTGACAAGCTGTGCTTTCTGCTCTAGGGAGCTTTTCAGGGATGGGGAACATTGGGCCCGCGGGCCGTATGAGGCCTGCTAAATCCATACCAGCTCACATCACACACCGTCCAAATTAGCCTGACCAAATAGAGCAGGCTAATTTTTAAGTTGCTAATTTTGTATGGCCCGCAAATGATGTTATAAATATCCAAAGGGCCCTTGGCAGAAGAAAGGTTCCCCACTAGATGAATGGCCCAATCCAGGATTGGCCCTTGTCATGTTGATACATGGGACCATGACCATGGAGTTTACTTAGTTCAGAAGTAGGCTGTACCTCAGAATATAATTAACCTATGGGTCAATCTTAAGTGACACCAGCCTCATTGGACAGGCAATATCTTGGTACCTAGTCTAACTGGAACCTGCATCCTAGTTTCACTTCTAGCAAGAACTGACCACCCCAGACCCACCATAGCTGGGATCTATATGACCCAGCACAGCCAGTTCTACAGCATGACTCAGACCTGGGGCAAGAAGGAAGGTGACCAAACTAGCCTTCCAAATATATGAAGGACTTTCCCTCGCCACTTTCTAGGGCAGTGGTTCTCAACCTTCCTAGTGCCGTGACCGTTTAAGACAGTTCCTCATGTTGTGGTGACCCCCAACCATAAAATTATTTTTGTTGCTACTTCATAACTGTAATTTTGCTACTGTTATGTCTTAGGTGACCCCTGTGAAAGGGTCGTTCAACCCCCAAAGGGGATGCGACCCACAGATTGAGAACCGCTGCTCTAGGGCATCTGCCCTAAATAAACGCCTGCCATAAACATGTGATCTATTCTATTTTTCAGTGTAAACACTCTCCTGAAGGCTCCCTGGGGTCAGACAAGACCTCTGCGGTGCAGCAGCACTTACTGCTACCAGTGTGGGTGGTGCAGTCAGGAGCCGGCCTGCTGTCAGAGGCTGGCATCGGTTCCCTGAAGGAGAGGACTTGGCGTGGCCCAGCGTTTCTCAGGTGAAGAGCAGGTGTCTGATGAAGATTACTGAGTGGTCTGCAGCATCAGAAATAAAGGTATTTTCTTGTACTGGAGATCATAATTCACTCCACTGTTTCACCCTAATTACACGCCACAGCTTATAAGCCTTAAACCAAGCATTTTAAAGCTACTACATATTATAGAGAATGGCTCAGCACCATTGTTTCTAAACTTTTTGTTTTGAAATACTTTAAAAGTTATTATAGGAAAATTGAAAACAGAGAGTTCCTGTATACCCTTCACCCAGACTCTTAAACTGTAATATGTGGACACATTTTGCCTATTTTCTCTCTTTGTCTCTGTCTCTGCCTCATACATACATACATTTTTTTCTGAGCCACTTGGGAGTAGGTTAGAGATATGATGGGCCCATTACCATTTAATACTTCAGTATGTAGTTCCAAAAACAGGGCATTTCTTCTATATAATCATAGTACAACCCTTAAAATTAGGCAAATTACCATGTAATCAAAAGATCCCATTCAAATGTTGCAAACTGTCCCAAAACTGTCTGTTTTACACCCAGAAGCCAACCCAGGACCACACAGTTGTTGTCATGTCTCTTTAGCCCCCTTCAATCTGGAACAGCTCCTCAGACCCGTTTTTGGGACCTATATCCCTCCATTTCGGTTTGTTTATTATAAGTTTTACTTAAAGAAAACCACTCAGTAAACATTTAATCCAAAACTGTTCTGATACATACAGATTGTTATTCTAATGGTTGCATAATATTCCACTATATGAAAGGCTGTATTTAACCAATCCTCTGTAAAAGAGCATTTAGCTTATTTCTAGTTTTCCACAGTATAAACCACAATGCAATTAGTAGCTCTGAGCAATTTATCTGAAGTGGAATGACTGGGTTAGGGTATGCAAATTAAAATTTTTGGTACAATTGCCAGATTGCCATCCTGAAAGACTCTACTTATTTAAAATTCCACCAATGATTCACAGGGATGACTACGCCCCACACCAACATCAGTGCTGAACATTTTTCACTCTTTTGATTTTGTCCAATCAGGCAAAAAAAAAAAAAAAAATCATTTATTAATGAGGCTGAGCATCTTTCATGCTTATTTTGTCTGTTTCCATGTCTTTTGTGAACTGCTTTTGCCTGTATTTTTATTGGGTAGTTTCTGAGTTTTTTTTTTAATTTCATTTTATTTTCCATCACCATTTATCCCCCCTACACCCTCCTCCACCTCTCTCCCCTCAAGCAGTTTCTGTTTTTAAACCGATTTGTTAACTCATTCCTTGGTATTTAAGTCTTGAGGGAAAGATACATTATGCATTCACTTTAGAGCTTTGTTTGAAGCTCTGTTGAAATGGTTCTAGTTTCTTACATAAAATCCAATTTCCTGAGAAACCGTATCAAGAAGTACAAGGTAACAGAACACCTATAGGCCATCTCAGCCCCACACAGCTCTGGTACATAGCTTCAGAAATAAGAGGTGGGTAAAATGTGAGAAGCAATAAAAGCAAAACACAATGAAAAACACCCAGACCATATTTCTCTCCACTCACTGTCTCTGGTTGAACGTCTCAGTAGAGTTCTGGGTTAAAGGAGAGAAGTTCCTCACTAACTCACCCCACTAGTCCTTGTTTCGTTCTTTCCTCCAAAATTATTTTAAATGGAAGAACAGATATACAATAAATGTTGATCTGAATATAGGTCTTAATTATTCAGCTTTAAATGCTATTAAAAACCATCATTTACATTAGGTAAGAGCACCTAGTTTTCAGGCAAGGGAAATTTGAAGCTGGGAAATACAACTTCAGCTAACGTAGGCTTCTTCCTTTCCCCTTGATTGCAAAGCCTACAGAAACAGGAGCCAAGAATCTGCATATATCTGCATGAACTTATATATGGTACAAAACTCAAATCTCAACTGATACAATGAAATATGTTCACGAGGATATGCACAATGTTTACTACCTCTAGAGAGAGGAGTCCCGATGTCAGAAAAGTAAATCAGAAACAAATATATTTAATTCTCACTTTCTAATCAATCAAGTCCATCAGTTAACCAATGACAGTCAATACTTACTAAAAGCCAAGTATAATGGTGCCCTGGCAGATATAAGACAAATATGCTCTTGAGGAACATACAACCCAGCAGGGTAACAGGCAGACAAACCTGAGGCATTAAGGGATGATCCCTGAGAATGCTAAGTTAGAGCACATATTATAACAGGGTCAGGACTTCAGAGAAGGGGAAAATCACTGCTCATGGGTACAGGGGGTTGGGGGTGTTCGAGTAATTAGCAAGGCTTAATGGAAAAGTAGGATCTGAGTAGGGCCTGCACAGACGGTCTGATGTGCAGAGGCAGGAAGAAGGGGTGGATATTGGGGCCCAGGAAACAGAAGGCATAGAGGTGGCAGTTGGCAAACCGCTCAGTGGAGGAGGCCTGATAAGAAACTGTGCATGTTGAGGAGTGCTGAGGACAGGGGGCTGCCCAACAGGTGCTGTGACAGGCAGCAGGAAGCCACTGGGGTCTCCAGAGCCAGAAGCATCCTGAGGAATGGGTTGTTGCCATGTTCTGCCCCACACTGAGCTGTACTGGAGCCAGAGGCAAAAGGAGAATTCAGTGTTACTGAGCATGTCTGTATTTAAAGTTTTGATATTTTGTTAATTATGGATTTTTTGCTTTAATTTTTATTTAAAAAAATGTGCCCAGCTGGTTTGGCTCAGTGGTTGAGCATCAACTCATGCACCAAGATGTCGCCAGTTCAATTCCTGGTCAGGGCATATGCCCAGGTTGTGTGCCAAACCCCCAGTGGGGGACATGCAGAGGTGGCCAATCGATGTTCTCTCTCATAAATGTTTCTCTCCCTCTTCCTCTCTCTCTCTCTAAAAATAAAAAATAATAATGATAATTAAAAAATTTAGAAAAAGAAAAATGTTGCACCAATGAGTTTCGGGTTAGATTCCGGTCAAAGGCATGTACCTCTGCGGTTCCTCCCTGGCCCTGGTTGGGGTTGTGCAGGTGGCAGATAGTTGATGTGTCTCTCTCATATCGATGTTTCTTTCTCTCTCTCTCTCCCTCTCCCTCCCCCTCCTACTCTATCTGAAGATAAATGGAAAAATATCCTCGGGTGAGGATAAAAAAAATGTTGCATTTAAATACAATTTATTTTGGTTACTATGTTTTTGTCACACGTTTCTTTGTGTCTAAGGTAAGTGCCTCACGTGCCTTCCCCTGGTCGAAGCCATGTGTTCCGTTTGTGAGGTTCAGTGGTGCGATGTGGGCATTTATTTTATTTTTATTAATTATAGCTTGTTCACACTACAAATAATCTTTGCTAAGTAGAAAGTATCTAATAAAAACAATTAAGATAAAGAAATTAGAATTTGAAAATTAACTGGGAACTTTGGAGCCCAAAAAGCACGGCAGGGAAAAGAACCCTTTGTACTCCTGAGTCAGTCTCTAGGGAGAACAACTCCCTGTTACTACAGTGTATGCAGTGCAAGCAGAAAGGGCTGTTTTGCGTGCCTAAGGGGTGAAAGATGGCTGTGGGGGATGCCAGAAGCTGCTGTTCACTTGGAGATAGGCCTCGAGCAGCGCGGCTGCTGTAAGCTCAGTGACTCTGCTGCACGGCCAGAGGCGAGCTTCCACAGAGGGACCACACGTGGAGGGCGTGGTCCACAGCTCCCGTGGAAGAACCCCTCCTGCCATGCTCAAGGAGAGGCTACTCATGGGGCTACGGTGCTTCCTGCAGGGCCATGGCCTCAGAAGCCAATGGAAGGGACATGATCTCTATACAGGTCTCAGGGCTCCTTGCATCTAGGAGAACAGGTGGTGTTTGACACAAGAATATTACTAATACATCTAAAAATATAAAATCTGAAATCTGTTGTTCATTAGCAAACTGATGACTAATGGAAGATATTTTTTTGTCAGAGTAGTCAATGATCATGCAGCACAAATCCCAAAAAGGGCCAAGGGAAAGGTAGACGGGTGCAGGCTGCTCCCTGTGCTTGTCACCAGATGCACTTCCCTGTCATTTGATGTGGACCTCCCAGTCAGTGCCAACGTTCAGGGACAGCTTCTCCAGGCTTAGCGTGGACGTTCTGGCACAATATGTAAAAGCCACAGGCTGATCTTTACCATCTAAATATCAAGACAATAAAAGGGAAAGTTTGATGAACATCAAGGAGAGAATTTTTTTTTTCTTTGTATCTGAAGTGTTTCTGACCCTGTCATAAAACCTTATACCCTACTTGGGAGAATTTAACCTACCACTTTTACTTGTGGAGTTCCATGGATTTTTAAACATGAAACACCCAACTGTTTTGAATGCAAGATTGCTTGAAAATAAACTGTAAGAAACAAAGTGTTTGTCTAAAAAATTCAGTAGGTTAGAAAGGATATATCTCATTCTATGCCCTGTAAGTAATTCCACAAGCACAAGTAGGGCTTTAGATACCTACAGTTTAACAAAAATATTCTGAGAAGCCACAATATTATTTCAAGCCCAAATTAATTCCCCTTAGAAAAATATTAACAGCTGACAGTGAGCAGAGAGACCAGCTGATGCAGAGAAAGAGGACGGCCTTGCTCCCTCTGAGACACTACTGTATTCGACCTCTACCAGAGAGCGTCGAGTCTACCTGCTGAACACATTATGTCATTTTAGGGTTGCTCATCTCTTCACCTCAGCATTTCTATGTTTATAAAAGTAGACGGCATGTTTCCTCACCAGATGAGTGGGTGGTCACAGAGGATGGTTGCTTCTTGAGGCCTAGGACAAAGATCTGTTCCACCACACACTTGCTGGGATAATGACCCCTCTCGTCAGCACAACTGAAAGAAATATAAATGGCATTAGAAAAATAAGGAAAAGAGGGGTTTGGCCTGGTTAACAGATCCAACAGCCTGGTTAGTTCACCTCCCTTCTTTTCCTAGGGAAGTCTGAACCAAATAGTTATCATATTTACTAGGATGAAAAGATGGAAACAGATGACTCTACATGTTGAGGGCTAAGTTACCAGTAGCCAAAACAACCTCTCTTTTTAAAGTCATTTGGAGAGAAATCACCTAAGGACACTGAAGTCACCAATGTGAGTTGGACACAGCAACCAAATTGAAAGAAATCAGATACTTAGTGAATTGTTGAATGGTTGAATAAATGGGACTAATGGGAACTTGAATTATTTTTTAAAAAAATTTTAGAGAGGAAAGGAAAGAAAGATGGAGACAGTAAGGAAGAGAAGTTTATGGAGTGATTGAAAAAAAAATACTGCAGGGGACTCTGGACCAATATGGTGACACATGAGGTTTCTGAATTTCTCTCCTCCCACAGATGAACCAAATGTAAAGCTACCCAGGGAGCAATTCCCCTTGAGAGCAATCCAGAAATTAGCTGACTGACTCCTACACATCTGGTGACTGAAAAAATACCCACATCAAATCAGGTAGGAATGGCTGAGACACACTCTCTCTATCACCCCCGCCCCAGCACAGTGCCATACAATTAGGAGAGGGAACCCCGGCTCCTGAAGAGTGAAGGATTTGCCACACTTCTAGCACCTCAATTTTTGTTGTTTATCTTCATCTGAGGATAATTTTTCCATTGATTTTTAGAGAGAGTGGAAAGGAGGGAGAAAGCAGGGGAGAGAGAGAGAATGAGAATGTTAGAGAGACACATCAACTGGTTGCCTCCCACACATGCCCTGACTGGGGCAGGGATCAAACCTGTAACCTAGGTATGTGCCCTTGACCGGGAATTGAACCTGTGTCCCTTCAGTGCTCAGGCTGATGCTCTAACCACTGAGAAGCACTGGCCAGGGCTAATACTCCAACTTTTAAGTCTCCCACCTGAGGATTAGGCTCCCAAATCACTCAATCCTGATAGCCAGCTGTGTTTATGTTCACAAGTTCCATAGGGTTGTATGAAACAAAGAAGCAGTTGTTAATGGGTGTGCTATAGCTATCCCCCAGGCTCAGCACAGAGGGTGCAGGCAAAAAACACCCATTTCTCAAATTCTCCCTAGAAGGGGCATGACTGTGAACTTTTACAGTTACTGCCTGGGAGTCAAGTTTCTAATCAGCCTGCATCAAATACTGACTGCATTCTCCCTTTGGGTCACTAATGGGTTTTGGTACATCCTCAACTACTGGCAGCCACTAAGAACAAAGATGGCCACTTGGATAATCACAAAGCTTTAGAAGCAACCAGGAGCTCAGGCCAGGCTGATTGATGAAGTTCATCTCCTACACAAAACCAGTCTGTTAGAATTGAAAGAGGTGGATGTTTTATCTAATGTGCAGAAACCAACACAGGGAATCGAGAAAAATTAAGAAATAAGGGAGTATCTTCCAAACAAAAGAACATGATTAGTCTACAGAAACTGACCTTAATGAAATAGAGACAAGTTATTTATATGATAGAGAGTTCAAAATAATGATCATAACAATACTAACATCAGAAAGTAAAGGATGAACAAAGTGAGAATTTCAACAGAGTGATAGAAAATATAAAAAAGTACCAAACAGAAACCGTAGAGCTGAAGAATACAATAACTGAACTGAAAAAATTCAATAATGGGTTTTAACATCAGATTAGATCAAGTGCAAGAAAGGATCAGTGAACTCAAATACAGGACAGTGGAATTCATCCAATTGGAGGAGCAAAAGAAAAAAAGCATAAAAAAGAGTAAAGACAGCTTAAGAGACTTATGGGATAACAACCAGTGGACCAATATATGCGTTATAGTAGTCCCAGAAGGAGAAGAGAAGAGAGGAGAAGAGAAGAGAAGAGAAGAGAAGAGAAGAGAAGAGAAGAGAAGAGAAGAGAAGAGAAGAGAAAGGGGCAGAAACCTTATTCAAAGAAATATGGCTAAAAACTTACCTAACCTTGGGAAAGAAACAGACATCCATATCCAGGAACCCCAATGAGTTCTAAAAAAGATGAATCTAAAGAACCCACACTAAGATACATTATAATTAAAATTTCAAATGTTAAAAACAAAAAGAACCTGAAAAACATTAAGAAAAAGTAACTTGTTATATACAAGGACACCCCATAAGACTATCAGCAAAATTTTCAGCAGAAACCTTGCAGGCCAGAAGGGAGTGAGATGATATAGTCAGAGGAAAAAACAAAACAAAACAAAAAACACCCTGCCACCCAAGAATACTCTACCTGGCAAAGTTGTTCTTTAGAATTGAAGCAGAGAGAGAGAGTTTTCCAGACAAACAAAAGCTAACGGAATTAATCACCATTAGGCCAGCCTTACAAGAAATGTTAAAGGGAGTTCATGAAGCTGAAATGAAAGGATGCTAACTAGTAACATGAAAATATATGCAGGTATTAAACTCACTGGTAAAGTAAATATATAGTTAAATCCAGAATATTTTAATGTTGTGATGGTTTTGGGTAAATCATTTATAACTCTTATACAAAAGTTAAAGGACAAAAGTATTAAAGATAATTATAACTACAATAATTTATTAATGAATACACATTATAAAAAATTATGACATCAAAAACATAAAATGTGGGAAGGAGTGTGTAAAAGTGCAGAGCTTTGGTATGTGTTCAAAATTAAGTTATCAGCTTAAAATAGACTGTTATAATAAAAGATGTTTTATGGAAGCCTCATGTTAACCAAAAAGCCAAAACCTATAGTAAATACACAAAAGATAGAAAGAAAAAGCATACCACTACAGGGAATCATCAAATTATAAAGGAAGACATAAAGAGAGGAAGGAAGGAACAAAGGAACTACAAAACACCTAGAAAACAATGAACAAAATGGCAATAGTAAGTCTATACCTATCAATAATTATTTTAAAGGTATTTGGACTAAATTCTCTGATCAAAAGAGAAGGAGTTGCTGAATGGCTAAAAAGAAACAAGACCCAACTATATGTTGCCTTTAAGTGACTCACTTCAGCTTTAAGGACATATACAGAGTAAACATGAATGAATACAAAAAGATATTGATGCAAATAAAAACCAAAAGAAAGCAGGGGTAGCTATATTTGTATCAGACAAAACAGACTTTATGCCAAAGGCTGTAGCAAGAGACAATGAAGGTCATTATACAATGATAAAGGGGTCAAGTCAATTCATTAAGAGGATATAACATTTGTAAATATTTATGCACCCAACAACATCAGAGCTCCTAAAATATATAAAGCAAATATTAACAGATCTGAAGGGAGAAATAGCACTACAACTATTGAAGGGGACTTCACTACCCCACTTACAACAATGAATAGATTATCCAGACAGAAAATCGATAAGGAAACAGATGGATCTAACAGATAGATTCTAGTCAACAGCAGCAGGCTGCATACTCTTCTCAAGTAAATGTGGAAGATTCTCCTGGACAGATCATATGTTAGGCCACAAAACAAGTCTTAACAAATATAAGAAGACTGAAATTATATCAAGCTTTCCTGACCATAATTGTATGACAGTAGAAATCAATTCACAAATATGTGGAGATTAAAAAAACATGCTCCTGGTCCGGCCAGTGTGGCTCAGTGGTTGAGTGTCGACCCATGCACCAAGAGGTTGCCAGTTCAATTCCTGGTCAGGGCACAAGCCTATGTTGTGGGCCTGATCCCCAGTGGGGGGCATGCAGGAGGCGGCCAATCGATGTTCTCTCTCATCAATGTTTCTATCTCTCTCTCCCTCTCACTTCCTCTCTCTCTAAAATCAATAAAGAAAAAATTAAAAAAAAAAAAAATAGGGCAATATCTTTAATAAACACAGATGTAAGAATACTCAAAAAAATATTAGCAAAATGAATTCAACAGTTCATTCAAAGGATTGTATACCACAATCAAGTGGGATTTACCCCTGGGATACAGAGATGGTTCAACATAACAAATCAATAAATATGATGCACCACATTAACAAAAGAAAGGATAAAAATCATACGGCCCTGGTCGGTTTGGCTCAGCGGTTAAAGCATTGGCCAATGGTCCAGAGAGACCGGGTTCAGTACCCACTAAGGGCACATACCTTGATTGGGTTTTGTCCCCGGCCCTGGTTGGGGTCATGTGGGTGGCAGCCAGTCGATGTGTCTCTCTCAAATTGATGTTTCTCTCTCTCTCTCTTCCTCCCTCTCTCCCTCTTACTCTATCAGAAGACGAATACAAAAATGTCCTCGGGTGAGGATAAAAAAAAATCATGTGATTCAGAAAAAGCTTTCACAAAATTCAACAGGTTTTCATGATAAAAACTCTAAAAAAAAATTGGGTATAGAAGGAACATATTTCAACATAATAAAGGCCATGTATAGCAAGCCCACAGCTAACATAGTCAAAGATGACAGCGATGCCCAATCTTGCCACATTTATTCAACATAGTACTGGAGATCCTAGCCAGAGCAATTAGGGAGAAAAAGAAAATAAATAAATAAAAGGCATCCAAATCAAAAATAAAAAAGTAAAACTATATCTATCTGCAGACAATATGATATTATATATAGGAAACCCTAAGTGATTCCACCAAAAAACTGTCAGAATAAACAAATTCAGTAAAGTTGAAGGACACAAAATCAATATACAAAAATCAGCTGTGTTTCTCTACATTAACAAACTATTGAAAAAAGAAATTAAGAAAATAGCCACATACAGAATAGTATTGAGAAGAATACTCAGGCATAAATTTACTCATGGAGGTGAAAAATCTGTACTGAAAACTGTAAGGCATTGATGAAAGAAATTGAAAAAGACGCAAGGAAAAAGGTATTCTGTGTTCATGGTTGGAAGAATATTGTTAAAATGTCTGCGCAATCCCAGCCACTCGATGTGTCCCTTTCACATCGATGTTTCTCTCTCTCCCTCTCTCTCCCTCCCACTCTACCTGAACAAAAAATGGAAAAATGTCCTCAGGTGAGGATTTAAAAAAAAAAAAAAAAGAAAATGTCTGCGCAATCCAAAGCAATCTACAAATTCAACGTAATGCCTATCAAAATTCCAGTGGCAATTTCCATAGAAATTGAAAAAAAAAATCCTAAAGTTCACATGGAACTACAGAAGATCCCAAAGAGCCAAAGCAATCTTGAGAAGGAAGAACAAAGCTGGAGGCATTATAATGCCTGATTTCAAACTATACTATAGAGCCATAATAATCAAAATACTATGGTATTGGCATAAAAATACACATCAACCAATGAAACAGAATAGAGACCCTCAAAATATAAAATGGGGAAAGGATAGTCTTTTCAATAAATGGTTTTGGAAAAACTAGATATCCATATGCAAAAAAAGAGAAATAAAATGGACTCCTAGTATACACCATACACAAAAATAAACTCAAAATGGGTAAAGATTTGAATGTCAGACCTGAAACCATGAAAATCCTCGAAGAAAACATATGGAGTAAGCTCCTTGACATAAATCTTGGTGATAATTTTTTTGAACTTTACACCAAAAGCAAAGGCAAGAAAAGCAAAAATAAACAAGTGGTTTGACATCAAACTAAAAAGCACAGCAAAGAAAACCATCAACAAAATGAAAAGGCAACCTACGAAATAAAAGAAAATATTTGTTAACCACGATTCCAAAAAGAGTATGGTCAAATATATAATTAACATCTAAAATATAGTAGAACTGCCCTGGCCGGTTTGGCTCAGCGGTTAGAGCGTCGGCCTGCAGTCCTGAGTGACCCGGGTTCGGTTCCCGCTAAGGGCATGTACCTCGGTTGCAGTGTGTCCCCGGCCCTGGTCGGTTGTGCGGGTGGCAACCACTCGATGTGTCCCTTCACATCGATGTTTCTCTCTCTCTGTTCCTCTCTCTCCCTCCCACTCTACCTGAACAAAAAATGGAAAAATGTCCTCGGTTGAGGATTAAAAAAAAATAAATAAATAAAATAAAATAAAATATAGTAGAACTCATATAACTCAATAGCAATCAAATAAAATAAAACAACCCAATTAAAAATTGGCAAAGAGCCCTGGCCGGTTTGGCTCAGCGGTTAGAGTGTCGGCCTGCAGTCCAGAGAGACCCGGGTTCGGTTCCCGCTAAGGGCACGTACCTCGGTTGCAGTTTGTCCCCGGCCCTGGTTGGGTCGTGCAGGCGGCAACCACTCCATGTGTCCCTTTCACGTCGATGTTTCTCTCTCTCTCTCCCTCCCACTCTATCTGAACAAAATATGGAAAAATGTCCTTGGGTGAGGATTTACAAAAAATAAAAAAATTGGCGCCCTGGCCAGTTTGGCTCAGCGGTTAGAGCGTCGGCCTGCGGTCCGGAGAGACCCGGGTTCGGTTCCTGCTAAGGGCACGTACCTCGGTTGCTGTTTGTCCCCGGCCCTGGTTGGTCGTGCGGGTGGCAGCCACTCGATGTGTCCCTTCACGTCGATGTTTCTCTCTCTCTCTCCCTTCCTCTCTCTCCCTCCCACTCTATCTGTACAAAAAAATGGAGAAATATCCTCGGGTGAGGATAAAAAAAAAAAAAAAAATAAATAAATAAATAAAAAAATTGGCAAAGAACTTGAGTAGGCATTTCTCCAAAGAAGGCATGTATGTGCATGGCCAACAGGTGCCTGTAAAGGTGCTCAGTGTTACTAATCATCAGGGAAATGCAAATCGAAACCACAATGAGACATCACCTCACACCTGTTAGGATGTCTAATCAAAAAGACAAATGCAGGTGGAAATGTGATGAAAAGGGAACCCTTGTACATTGTTGCTGAGATGTTAACTGGTATGACCACAATGGAAAACTATATGAATGTTCTTCAAAATATTAAGAATAGAACTATCATATGATCCAGCAATCCCACTTCTGGGTATATAGCTGAAGAAAATGAAATAACTATCTCAAAGAGATATCTACCCCCATGTTCACTGCAGCATTATTCACAATAGCCAAGGTATGGAAACAATCTGTCTGTCAGTGAATGAATGGATCGAGAAGATGTGCTATATATGCATAATAAAATATTATTCAGCCTTAAAAAAGATGGATATTCTCCCATTTGTGTCAACATAAATAAATCTGGAGGGCATTCTGCTAAGTGAAATAAACCAGACAGAGAAAAGGAAATACTGTATGGTATCATTTATATGTGGAATGTTAAAAAAAAAAGTCAGCCCTGGCCGGTTTGGCTCAGCGGTTAGAGCGTCGGCCTGCGGTCCTGAGAGACCCGGGTTCGGTTCCCGCTAAGGGCATGTACCTCGGTTGCAGTTTGTCCCCGGCCCTGGTCGGTTGTGTGGGTGGCAGCCACTCGATGTGTTCCTTTCACATCGATGTTTCTCTCTCTCTGTTCCTCTCTCTCTCTCCCACTCTACCTGAACAAAAAATGGAAAAATGTCCTCGGGTGAGGATAAAAAAAAAAAAAGAAAAAAAAAAGTCAAACTCATAGAAACAGAGAGTAGAGTGGTGGTTGCTAGGGGATGGGAAGTGGGAGAAATAGAAAGAGGCTGGTAAAGGGTACAAATTTTCAGTTCTAAGATGAATAAAGTCTGAGAATCTAAGGTATAACATGGTGACTATAGTTGATAATACCACGTTGTATGATTGAAATTTGCTAAGGGAGTAGACTGTAAGTGTTCTCATAAAAAAAAAAAGGTAAATATGTGAGGTGATGGATGTGTTAATTAACTCCATGGTGGAATCCTTTCACAATGTATATGGATATCATATCATCATGTTGTACACTTTAAGTATATTACAATTTTACTTGTCAACTATACCTGAATAAAGCTGAAAAAAAGAAAAGAAAAAAACAAACAAAACACTCCACAAGTGTCCTTCATCATTAACTTCTTCAAATTGTATCTTAAACTACAGTGATACCTCGGTTCTCGAACATAATTCGTTCCAGGAGGATGGTCGAGAACCGAATTGTTCGAGAACCGAAGCAATGAAACCAATAGGAAAGCGTGACTCCACAAAGCGTGACTCTCTCTCTGCACTCACACTGATGACGCAAGCAAGGCGCGCTGGGCCGAATGAACGCCATTCGGCTCAACTCGGCTCATCTCGGAAGTTCGAGTTCCAAATATTTGTTCGGATTCCGAGACAAAAGTTTCTCGAATCTCCTGGTCGAATACCGATTTGGTCGAAAACCGAGGCGTTCGAGAACCGAGGTATCACTGTATCAGCTGTATATTTGAAAATAGCAAAAGGGTAGCATCATCTACCTAAGAAAGCACGCAGATTTTTAGCTGTTATTACCTGTTGCTCAAAACACCCGAACAGAAACAAAACTTCCTGTGTAAGAATTGCTTCTGGTGGAGGTATTGGAATGAATGGCCATCATCAAGATACAATTCACCCACAGCAGAACCCTGGGGAGCAAATCACAGACAGAGAATGAGGTTATATAATAATTTTCTGGGAAAAGAATGTCACCCCCTAAAGGGAAATACTAGATTTAAAATTTTGTGAAAAATTATGTTAAATAAAAGCTTAATATTCAAGCTGTACAAACTAGTCATACAAATATATACAATCAAAAACCATTAGTAAATGAGGAAATCACATAAGAGGGGCACAAAGAATTAGGCCTTGTTGAAAGAAATTTAAACTAGGGAGTATGGTCACTGGCATAAGTGGCTTCCTGAAAATACTATCCTAGAATGACAACAGGTCATAAAAGTTCATAGAATGAACTGAAGTTAAAAGAAATTCATAATGGGTGAAATCAACTAACTTTAGAAGACCCTCCATGTAGACAATGGTATCAATTTTTTTTTTTTTAAGTAGGAAGACTCCTTTTGCATGTCAAAGAATGTCACAGCATTCCATATGGCGGGATCTCGAAGTCTCTTGTATTTTATTCTGTGGCCTCTTATGGGCCCAAGGCCCATTGTTTGGCATCATAAAACATGCCTAAGTGAAACAGATGAAAAAGAAGGATGTAAGAAAAAGAAAGCTTAATTATTTTATAGTATTTGCATGAGTAAGAATTTGTTTTTGGTACTGTATTTGGGCAAATGGATAGGAGAGGAATCTGCTATAGGCCTTGTTTGGCTCAAAAAGACAGATCAATTCTGGATTCTTCCAGGCTTTACCCAAGGAGATTTTAGTTGTTTGAGCCATTTAATGAGAACAGAAGTCATTGTGTGGGGGTGGTGTCCCTGAAATGTTGCACTGATACAGATACCCTTTTACAGGAGATTGGTTTCAGGGCTAATCCGTGTGGCAGGCTGCCTAGGCCCCGGTGACCTTTCAGTCCAGTGGTTACCAATGCCAAGCTGCAAAGCACAAGGGTCACAGTGTTCCAGAGGAAATTTCTATCATTTCTAGTTCTCAGAGCCCCTTTAAGAACAATTCCAGGCAGGTCAGACAAGTTAGACAATGATTCAGAAATGATTCAAAACTTTGATTTCTAGATAAACATCTGAAGCACCTGTCCCACAGATGGGATTCCCCACTTTTACAGTGTCACACACTCAAAGGGCCACCACTGTATTTTGTTTTGTTTTGTTTTATCCTCACCCGAGGACATTTTTTCATTTTTTGTTCAGATAGAGTGGGAGAGAGAGAGAGAGAGAGAGAGAGAGAGAGAGAGAGAGAGAGAAATGTCAACGTGAAAGGGACACATCGAGTGGTTGCCACCCGCAAGACCCAACCAGGGCCGGGGACAAACTGCAACCGAGGTACGTGCCCTTAGCGGGAACTGAACCCAGGTCTCTCTGGACCGCAGGCCGACACTCTAACTGCTGAGCCAAACTGGCCAGGGCTCAGGGCCACCACTGTAAAGAGACAGAGTAGTAACAAATAAAATGTGTAAAGGTAACATTTTCCAAATACCTTAGTGCTTAGAGCCACCCGGAGTCCATAGGGGGAATCAGTCATCCAGCCTGTGGATTTTCCTATAACTCTCTTTATTGGCACTACACTTCCGCCTCGTTGAAACACTGGTATCTACAACAGAGCAACACTCTCAGGGAAGGCGTATTCAGAGAGGGCAATTTCAAAGTAGAATTAAAAATGTTTCATTGTACAAGACACATTTTTTACAAGTATAGACTCAAAGGCAATATAAATTTATGGCAAATATGGGGGCCCTGGCATTAAAAGGAAAAGAGTTCAAGCACTAAAAACCACTTCTCACCCTTCATCAATTTATTATCTATTCTGCCTATCCTATAAGTAGCCTTTCCTGTTTTGTATCTTTAATTTTCCTGTCAATATAATAAACATGTTTATTTCTAGGGCCCTGCTGAAGAGTGAATTTTTCTGTCTGTGTAAGCAGGCCCAGATGTATATATGTAGATAAACGATGGTAGTTTCTTTGTTTGGGGGAGATGACTTTTGTTCTTTTTTTTTTTTTTAATCCTCACCAGAGGACATTTTTCCATTTTTGTTCAGATAGAGTGGAGGGAGAGAGAGAGAGAGAAACATCGATGTGAAAGGGACACATCGAGTGGCTGCCTCCCACACAACCCCAACCAGAGCCAGGGATGAACCGCAACTGAGGTATGTGCCCTTGGCCGGAACTGAACCTGAGACTCATTGGTCAGTGGGCCGATGCTCTAACCGCTGAGCCAAATCGGCCAGGGCAACTTTTGTTCTTATTCACAGTAACCTATACCCATCTTGCTCCCTGATTCCCTGGATCCTCAGGATGAATGACTCAATTCTGAGGGCGAATTTGGGAAACTTCTGTTATAGACACTACCAAGGGCACTTAAGTGACTCTGACAACAGGTTTGCAGGCATGACCCACATCTATGGGTCTTCTGGAATGCCATTCCCAGCAGGTTTCCTGTCTTCCAATATGGTCTTCTGTAAGAAAGCGCCCTGGATCACATGAGGGATGGTACACAAGCAGGGAGAAGAGTACAAGAATATAAATGAACGCGGGAGTGAGGCCACGTGGAGTAGTTAAGTCCACTTTCTGCTTGACTCGCAGTTGGCAGTAACAAATAAAGTTTCTGTCTTCCCACCCTCATCAGCCAATCTCTTTATTCCCCCTCAAAGAATGAGGTAGTAAGTTAGTATGGAATAGGGTCTTGTCTCATTTCTGCCACAATCTAGCCATAACCCTGGACAAGTAATTTCACTTCTCTCTGAACCTGTGTCTTCACGTGTAAGCATGAGAGATTCGAGTAGATGCATGTTAAGATCTCTTCTAGAAATGAAAGTTGACATCTGAAATCATTTTCTTTATAATGGAATTCATACTCTATTGACAACTTAAAAATAACCAATTAAAAAGATAACCAATACCTATTTATTAATCTTCTCACTACTTAGTGATTCAGCTGCGGACCAGATTCCCTTCAGAAATTCAATCTGGATTTGCCACTGTGCTTCTAACATCATAACTGATAGCATGCATTTGGGCCGAGAGGTCCAGGATTACAATGAAAAACATTTGACTTGGTTTTTTTGACTTGGTCCTGTAGAAGGACGCTCTGTATGGCATGTGTGATGACCACCACATTGGCTTTCTATTTTCAGTGTTATTATTTTTCTTAGACATACAAATGTAAGTATATGGGGAAGAGCTGTTTGTCCTTGATGTTTCATCAGAGTATATGTTATTTTTATACTTTTTTTCTCACATTTTAACAGCTTCATTGATATAATCCACATGCCATATAAGTCACTCATTTAAAGTATACAGTTAAATGGTTTTTAGTGTATTCAGAGTCATGCACCTATCACCATAACCGACTTTAAAATATTTTCATCACCCCAAAAAGAATCATTATGCTCATTAGCAGTCACTCCCCATTGCCCCCCAAATCCTCTCCCTTCCCCAGCCCTAAGCAACCACTAATCCACTTTCTGTCTCCATAGGTACATGTTATTCTGCAGAATTCTAATGTCCTTGGTTCTTTCTATGTAGGCACATGTTATGGACTGAATGTTTGTGGCCCCCAAATTCATACATTGAAACCCCAACCTCCAATGTGACTGTATTTGGAGACAGGGCCTTTATAGAAATAATTAAGGTTAAGTGAGGTCATAAGAGTGGGGCCTTGATCCTATACCTCACTCTCTCCCTCTGTCCTGTGAGGACACAGCAAGAAGGCAGCTGTCTACTTGCCAGGAAGAGTCCTCACCAGGAACCAAATTGGTTGGTACCTTAATCTAGTATTTCTAGCCTCCAGAACTATGAGATAATAAATTTCTGTTTTTTAAAAAACTATGTTTTTATTGATATTTAGATAGAGAGAAAGGGAGAGGGAAAGAGAGATAGAAATATCAATGAGAGAGAAATATTGATTGGCTGCCTCCCACATGCCCCCTACTGGGGATGGAGTCCACAACCTGGGCATGTGCCCTGACCAGAAATCGAATTGACAATCTTTTGGTGCATGGAATAGTGTCCAATCAACTGAACCACACTGGCCAGGGCAATACATTTCTGTTTTTTAAGCCACCCAGTCTGTGTTATTTTGTTATAGCAGTCTGAGCAGGCTAATACAGCACAGCAGGAAAAACAACAGTCTGAAAATAACTTACAGTGTCCAAGGTTACTGGTATGTTCACAGTACATGCTCCTTCCCAAGAAGCAAATGTCTTAGAGTCATACCAGACCTGAAAAGGAACAGACCCCAGTGAAAAAGAGTATATAAACAACTCTGCTTGTAATTTCATTATTCAGTAAAACACCTATTTGTCTTGATTTCATGTAAACAGAAAGCTAAAATAAGTATAATTTAAAAAAAAATCTTGAGTATAAATTATGAAAGACACATACTTTTAAGAAGATCCCAAAAGACTAATCTACTGTGACAGATTAATTTGATTAAAAAGCCACTCATTTGTCCAACCATCCATCCAAAAGTTACCCATTAAACAACCCACCATGTGCCTCGCACTGCTAGGTACACGAGTGAACAGTTCCTGACCTCATGGATTTTTACAGTCCAGGTGGCTTATAAGAACGTAAAGTGTCTATTAGTAAAAAAGATGATGAAGGGAAGAAGGAAACAACAAAGAAGGAAAGCACATTGCAAGCAAATGAATTACAGACAAGGCAGGAGAAAGGAAGGTGTTGGAAAAGGAAACAGATCCTAAAGAAAAACAAATGGAAACTTGAATTATTGCTATATGATCATTTTTTTTTATGGAATACAATTCAGAAATGAGGCTCAAACTCTTATCTGGGGTTCCTGTCAAGGAGGTTTAGTTGTTGAAGGTACCAAAAAGGTCATACAAAGTAGTTTGATGGGATACATCCATAGGATAGCACCAGAGTCCGCATGAAAACAAAAACCTCTCTTTCTCTCTTCTAGTCCAGGATAGTTTCTGGCAGCCAGAGTCTGATTTGCAAGTTCACCTCCTGGGATGACCACATCCTTTATATAGCTTGGCTGTTGCGTGTGTCACTGTCCCGCTGTGAAGGTGAGAGACTTGACTATGGTTAGCTACAGTGAACTCTTTATTCAACAGGAGCAACCCGACCATCATGCTGTTTCATCCTAGGCTGGATTCAATGTGCTAATGTTTTATCAAGTATTTCTGTCTGTATTTATGAGGGATATTGTCTTAGGTTTCTTTTCTTGTAATGTCTTTCTCTGACAAATTCCAGTAGATTCAGATAAAGAGCTGGTGGGAGTGAAAGGTAAAAAAAAAAGATTCAAACAAGATTTTGGGATTACCTGTCTACCACTTCTAGAACTAACTAGAATGAGAGGTATAGGGTATGTGTTCTGGTGCCATTTACAAAGATCTCCAACCTAGAAAGGGTGTAAATGGTACAAAACACCATATAGACCAGACCTGGAGCTCAGTCACCAAGTTCCTTACCCAGTAAGTATTCATCAAAGGCCTACTATGTGCCAAGTACCCATCCAGATGCTGGGGTTGCAGCCGTGAACACAAAAATCAACCTTCAAAACGCTAACATTCTAATTTGAGAGACAGATAATTAACAAAACATCCAAGTAAATATACAGAATGTTAGAAGGTGGCACCGTTCTGTGGAGAAAAATAAAGGATGACAGAGGGCTGGACAGGGGCAGTGTGGGTGGTTTATAATCTTAAAGAGGTGGTCAGATATTTGTGGAATATAATGAACATAACAGTCTGAGGAATGGGGTAGTCCCAGAGATGTGGAAGTGGGGTACAGAATGACAATCCCCAGAAGAGCGGGTGGTGGGGGAGAGATAAACCACAGAACTCACATGCATGTGTGCATGAACAATGGACATAGACAACAAAGCTGGGGACAGGGCAGGGAGAGAGAGGAAGGGGGGAACCAGTGGGGAAAAAAGGAGAAACATCTGTAACAAAAATAAATAAATAAATTAAAAAAAAAAAAAAGAGGTGATCAGAGAAGGCCTCACCGAGGAGACCTTCGAGGAAAGCCTTGAAGGAGCAGGAACAGGCCATACAGAAATATGGGGAAAATGACAGTGAGGGACCTGAGATATTCCCCTTGCACCCTGTGATGTGGTGCTAGCTAACCAGTGAGGCAAAGGTCTGGCGAGGGACAGCTTGGCTCTTCCACCCAGGCTTTGGGAAGATGTAAGCAAGAGAAACAAGCAGAGAATGCTCTGGAAATGGTGTTGAGGGAGAGTATACTGCGTAGTCAGAGCAATGTGCTTGCGATGATGACAGGCCATTAATAAAAATGTGTGGCTAAGTTAGAAAGGGAGCTGGTTCCCCTTAATGGGAGCCCATGCTTTGTTAGAATCAACTTGAGAAACTCGGCAGAAATGCTTGGCAGGACAATTTATTTAGCTGTTGTAGTTAACCCTTTTCTCAAGTTTCTACTTGGCACGGAACCTTTGTAAAGAGCCCTCAGCTTCAGAACTGCAAATTCCTGGAGAAGCCAAGGGCAAAGACCAAAATTCATGAACATTCTGGAGAAAAGCCCGATTACGTCCCGTTCCCTGGAAGGAGTGACTATTACCCTCTGTGGTAACAGATTTGACTAAGGTAAGGATCTTGAGATGAGGAGATTATGTGGGATCATCCAGGTGAGCCCTAAGTGTCTTCACGAGTATCCTTATGAGAGAGAGAAGGAAGAGGAGACAGACAAACCGAAGAGAAGGCCCTGTGCAGAAGGAGGCGTAGATGGAAGTAATGCAGCTAAAACCAAGGAATGCCAAGGATTGTGGGAGCCACCAGAAGCTGGAGAGAGCCATGGAGAAGACCCTTCCTCAGAGCTTCCAGAAGGAACCAACCTGCTGACACCTTGATTTTTGACTTATGCCTCCGGTATTGTGAGAGAAGAAATTTTGTTGTTTTAAGCCACCAAGTTTGTGGTAGTTTGTTACAGCAGCCTCAAGAAGCCAATACAAAAGTTGAATATATAAAATCAAACCGTTTTATTCAACCTGAAAAAAAAAAGGAACCAATACAACCACCAAACCTGGAAAGCTGGATGAGGGAGAACACTGGCACTGGTTTCCTGGTGTTGCCATGACAGCCCTTGATCGTACTGAGCAGTGAGCATGGCCTGGCTCAGCGACCTCACCACTTGCCTTGACAGTCCAAGAATATCGTGCCACGGTGGCCCCACCATCAGTTCAGTATCCTTCACGGCTCTTCCCGCTGTCTGCTGAAGCCTGTGGCAATGCTCCGGTGTCCAGGACTCTCTCCAGGGTCTGTCTCCTTCCTGCTCTCCATTCCATACACTCTTTCCCTGGTCTGATGCCCCGAGTTTCTGCCATCTTTTCTCCTGGCCCCATCAGATGTATCCTTGGTCTGTCTCTGGAGGCTGTTGCTCTTATCACCCTGGCTGTCTGTCTGCTCTGCAGCCCTATGCCTTATGCCCACCTCTGCCCCATGTCCTGCCTGGGTTCAGTGCCCGAGCTCCAACAGGCTCGGGGTGATATTTTATACAGTTGCAATAACCAATACAAGAGCAGAAGAAGGCTTGGAGGGTCAGAGAGGATAGTCACTGTTGTTACTTTTTATCCACTTTTGGTGCCAAAAACTCAGGATATAGATAGAGCCAGAACCAAAGAGCAAAGTCTTTTTATGCTTGTTTCCCCCAGAGTTTGATACCTCTTAATAGACTAAAGATTTCTTCCTACCTAAAACCTCAATGTGTTTATAAGGAGCTACTACACAAGTCAATGTGAAGATAAAGAACCATTCTGATCCTCCTTGCTGTCACCACCCATTCATCTTTCTCCCTGCTCTTCCATTAGGTTTCTTGACCTCTGAGGACAGTAGTCATGACTTACAAGAATCTATAGTTGCTATAGTCGTTTGGGCTGTCTTCACAACTGCATGATGAAGAAATCTATTTCCTAACAGTGGCTAATTCATCAGAATGAGGGATGAGATATGAGACATATAATATATGTGACTGTCGCCTGGCCAGTGTGGCTGTGAATTGAGTGTTGTCTCATGGACTGAGAGGTCCCAGTTCAATTCCTGGTCAGGGCACATGCCTGGGCTTTGGGCTCCATCTCTAGTAGGGAGTATGCAGGAGGTAGCTGATCATGTTTCTCTCTCATATCGATGTTTCTATTTCTCTCTCCCTCTCCCTTTCCCTCTCTCTCTAAAAAATAAAACATATTTTAAAAAAGTATGTGACTGTCATTTACTCTTACCTCACTTGATCCTGGCAGAAACACATCAACCACAGTAGCTTTTGGCTCTGTGACTGGATGAACCAATAGAGCACTTCCTGAAAAATGGAGAAGAAATAAGGCTGAATACTAGTATAAGGGGCCTGAAAACTCCTTTTCTTTTAATTGAGTGCTTCTGTGGTTTTAAGGACCACTAGACTGTGAATTTCTTTTTTTTTAATTAATTTATGTTTGTTACAGATGTTTCTCCTTTTTTCCCCCATTGACACCCTCCTCCCCATTCCCCCTACCCTGTCCCCGGCTTTGTTGTCTGTGTCAATTGGTTATGAGTACATGCACATAATTTCTGTGGTTTATCTCTTTCCTTCCCCCACCACTCCCTCTTCTGAGGGTTGTCAGTCTGTACCCTACTTCCACTAGACTGTGAATTTCTTAAAGGTAGAGACCTGGTGAGTTGAACCAATGATTCATCGGAGATGCTTTGCTAGAAAGAGGACAGGTGCTCATGGAGGTGACTGCATTGTTGCCTATCATTACTTCACTTATAGTATATTGAGATTCTAGGGAAGGACCCACAGTCTCTTTTTGTGCATAACTGTGGTAGGCAGTTAGACAGACATAGCAGAGCAAGGATGATGGACCAGGTACAGAAGGTCACCAGGGCAAAAGCCCTGGGTGCCTAGCAATGGGCAAAATTGGGAAAATAAGGACCTTGCCCCAGGGTGACCTTTCTTCCCCTAGCATATCACTGGTCATGTGGTTTAAACTCCCTGACCTTTCATATTGCTGGTCATATGGTTCAAGCCCTCTCCTGACCTTTCTTCCCCTGGCGTGTTGCTAGTCATGTGGTTTTAGACCCCCTTAGAGGAGGAACAAAAAAGGGCGGGAGAATAGCCTCATGTGACTCCTATACAAGCCCTTGTACAACCACTCCCTTAAGCACTGGGCCCTCAGGACAATGAAGTTCTAACCCAACAAATAATCTTTGGAACAAAGCCTCGGATCTGTTGGTCAAACTAGAAACAACATATAGGCCTCAGTTGTGTTTCAGCTCCAGGCCAGAAAAGCAGCAAAACCAAATAGAGCAACACCTGCCTGACATCAGGACCAGATGCAATGACTATTAATCCCCTCCCCTAGCACCGACTGATCAGTGGAAACCACAACCCTGAAAGGACACACCTAGAAAGCCAATGAATGTTCTATTGAGATCCTCCCCTTCGACCTCCTCTAAAATTCCCTGCCTTCAGAAAACAGATGAAACCCCTCAAGGTAAAGTAAGCTAGCTGGATCCCACACCTTTCTTCCCTGTTTCTTCGTCAGGCATGTACCTAAGCTCTAAGCATCCTGGCAAGACTTGCAACCAGGGGAGCAGCAGGCAGTGGCAGTTCTTCATGGGGTAACCCCATGAACCTTTCTCTAACATCCCCTTTTCTCTGACCTTTTTAAAAAAATTATTTATTTATTTATTTTTGTTACAGATGTTTCTCCTTTTCCCCCCACTGATTCCCCCCTCCTTCTCCCTCCCTGCCCTGTCCCCAGCTTTGTTGTCCATGTCCATTGTTCATGCACACATGCATATAAGTTCTGTGGTTTATCTCTCCCCCACCACCCCCTCTTCTGGGGATTGTCAGTCTGTACTCCACTTCCACGTCTCTGGGACTACCCCATTCCTCAGACTGTTATGTTCATTATATTCCACAAATAAGTGAGATCATATATGATACTTGTCTTTCTCTGTTTGGCTTGTTTCACTTAGGATGATACTTTCCAGGTCCCTCCATGTCATCTCAAAGGATAAGAGATCTTTCTTTCTTACAGCTGCGTAGTACTCCATTGTGTATATGTACCACAGCTTTTTTATCCATTCGTCTACTGATGGACACTTGGGCTGTTTCCAGATCTTAGCTATTGTAAATAGTGCTGCTACGAACATGGGGGTACATGTATTCTTTCTGATTGGTGTTTCAGGCTTCTTAGGGTCCCTTTTCTCTGACTTTTAAGTGAGCTAATAGCTGTCCACCTTGGCTTACTTCTGTCACTGTGACTTTTACTTCTCAGTGAGTCCAGAGAGCCCTATAAAGTTTCTAGGGAGCCAAAGCAGAGCACCACCTAGGCTCTCTCCTGTTGCTTCTTCTATCCTAGGCCCTTCTTTTGTTTCATTGTTCCCAGCTTAAATAAATGTACTCTCAAAATCACCTGGACTCATATTGTGAACTCTTTACTGCACAAAGTCAAGAACCCACACACTACAAGCTGGCCCCACACAGACCAGTTCCGGGCCCAGTCCCTTTCCGCTGACATAACTGCTAGTGTGTCAGTAGTCTGGAAGCACCATTGCACTTCTCCAAGTGCTTTGCTGTTTGCTGTAAGTGAAGTTGGTGATGGTGAGCCTACAACTGTTATCCCGAAGTGTGGTCCGCGTGGACACTGAGGTCTTCTTCCTTGGGCAATTATCATTGGGAAGGCTAAAATTCTCCTAAACACAATCTACTAATTTTGTTTTGACCTTGGCATCATATGTGTGTAAAATTCATCCATTTATGAATTCACTCTTAAATTCAACAAATATTTATTGAGTGTCTGGGGATATAGTGGCAAATAAGGCAGACATGGTCCCTACTCTCATGGAGTTTACAGTCAATGAAGACAGATATTGAATAAGTAATTACAAATTAATTAGAGTTCAGGCAAATACCAAAAAGGCAAAGTACAAAATAAAATAAAAGTTATGTAATAGGAGGGACTGACTTGGATTTAAGTAGGTGGAATTTGTAACTTTGGTCAGACTAGAAAGCAAGTTTGGTCAGAAAAATTTTTTCCAAGAAAGTGGCTATTTCAACTGAGACCTAAGGATGGGTGGAGACCTAAAGAGCAAGGTATTTTAGCCCTGGCCGGTTTGGCTCAGCGGTTAGAGCATTGGCCTGTGGTCCACAGAGACCCAGGTTCAGTTCCCGCTAAGGGCACGTACCTCGGTTGCAGTTTGTACCTGGCCCTGGTTGGGTCGTGCAGGTGGCAGCCACTTGATGTGTCCCTTTCGCATCGATGTTTCTCTCTCTCTCTTTCTCTCTCCCTTCCACTCTATCTGAACAAAATATGGAAAGATGTCCTCGGGTGAGGATAAAAAATAATTAATTAAATAAAGAGCAAGGTATTTTATATTTTGGAGTTTTCACTCTCTCAAGGTCCACCTTTTGGGCAACTTTTTGTTGAGCATGGCTTTTTGAGCCCTATAATCAAGATAATAGACTTCCACATTTTTGATTTGGTGGTTAACACTTGTTGAAGAAGAGGCCACTACCCCTGCCTCCAATCCTTTTTTGCATATTAAATAAGTAAGTTCCTTTGGTCTTTACTACAACTATCAGGTCTACTTTTTTCTAATTCCCTTTCCTTTAATGGTATCACAAGGCTTAGGAGTGGACCCAGAACAAGAATATAAATAGCATTTGCAAATATAATGGATTAATTTAAAGTTAATATGAGAGGTGGTACATGACAATATAATAGCTATGATCCCACTAAAATGAAATTTCTTTTCTGTTTTTAGCTTTCTTTTTTTTTTTTCATCCTCACCCGAGGACATTTTTGCATTCATCTTCAGACAGAGAGGGAGGGAGAGAGAAACATTGATGTGAAAGAGACACACTGACTGGCTGCCACCTGCACAACCCCAACTGGGGCCGGGGACAAACTGCAACTGAGGTACGTGCCCCTAGCAGGAACTGAACCCAGGTCTCTCTGGACCACAGGCCGACACTCTAACTGCTGAGCCAAACTGGCCAGGGCTAGCTTTCTTGAAATTAGGGATTTTTTAAATAGTGCTTTAACACTAGAAAATATAACAAGAACATAAGTACAGTATTTATCATAACTATAATTAATCAAGAAATACTTACCCAGCATGTATTCATCTTCCATACCAAAAGTCTCTAATTCATCAGGGAACTCTACCCACAGAGGCCTGGGGTAAGGAAAAAAAAAAATCTTTCTTCAATGTCATTAGATGTTTTATAACAATTCAATCACTTATACTTTCAGTTTTGTAACTATTCAAAGGAAACTGGAAAAAGCCAATGAGCCAAGACTCTTTTCAGATATCTCAAGATTTTGTGAGCAATTTCTGATTATTTGTATTTTTCTTATGTGAAAGAGCTATCAATTCACTTAAATGTTCCAATGAATGATAGAGAATTCTGGTACCTGCAATTTTTCCTTCTGATTGTTGAACAATAAATAAATACTGCTCTGACAGGCAGAATCAGAGTTTGGTGCAAGTCCAAATGCCTAACATGTCTGGTGTAAAACAAATTTTAAAACCATTTTGTAGTGATATAAAATCTGTGCTATTTTTTTCATGCTGCCACTGCCTTTCATGCATCCTTAATTACCTGTTTAAGTGAAAAAAACTGTTTCTGGTTTTCAAGCTGGCAACATTTTTGGAGGTTGGAGAAACTGTTGTATAGTTTTTGTTTTATTGTTATTGTTGTGCACAACTATCTAGAAGGCATTTGGGTTTGTAAAGAAAACTTTTAATATCTAAAAATATCTTAGTATCTTTAGTATCTGAATATTAACTTAATGGTTCTTATAATATTTTTCAATTTCATGAGGAGAAGATATTTTGAATAAGAGACTTATTTTTAGTTTATTCACTAGTCTTTGTAATAATGTATTTCCTTTCCTACTGAAAATGGTTACAAAGCAGTGGTCTCTGAAGCTGGCTGATGTCTAGAATCACAGGGAAACTTCTAACAAATATAGATCTCTGGGACCAACCAAAAGAGATTCCTAGTAGGTCTGGAGGTATGGCCTTGGAATCTGTATTTTTAAAGAGCTCCCAGGTGATTCTGATGTGGGCCAGGTTTAGAGACAGCTGATTCAGAAGTCTTGATGTAACTACGTGCATCTCTGTGTGAGTCCTCCTCTAACCCAGAACACTGGTTTTTCATATCTGCCTTCCAAATAGAATTAGAATATAATTTATACACCAGGAAAAATGTTCACCTCAAACTTGGAACAGTTTAGCCATAAGGGTAAGATAGAGCCTAAGGCTAGCAGAATACATTGTGCTTCATGAGAGGATGCTTGTGGGTTAAACACTGAATGAATTCAGTTACAAAGTCATTACAAATGGAGCCTTCTTTGAAGGCTCCATTTCGGTCTCATATCAAATACTAACACTTGAATCACAAAGGAGCAGAAGATCTAGTTATCTTCTGCTACCTCATCTGCCAGCACCTGCTCATGGTGGGTGCGCAATAAGCCGAGTGACACTTGATTAAACACATGGCTTGCCTTTACCTTTTCTCTTGAAATCACTGTGCAGTTACTCCATTCCCCAGGGGTTTGTTAGATTGTTTGCAGGGCCTCTGACAAGTGAAGTTGATTTACCTCATGATGGGTTCGGATGTCATGTGTGCACGGTAGAACAGAGAATACCAATAGGGCAGAAGGGCATAACGTTCTCTGATGGCCTCTCTGATGAGCCGGGTGTGTTCCTTCCCAAAGAGCCAGGGTTCCCGTCGCTTGCTGTTTATGGTGGCGTGGCCGCGAAAGAAGGGCTGGTAGGCCCCGGCCTGGTACCAACGCACCAGCAGCTCTGCCTCTGGATTCCCGATGAAGCCGCCAACATCAGCTGATTCATTAGGCAAGGAAAAGCTTGTGAGGCAACCAGGCTTGTAATGATGCACGCAAGTAAAACAAGGCCTTGAAGACTGACAGGAGAAAAATGCTGTGTGTGCAATCAAAATGACAGGCTAAAACTGTGACCTCAAATTAGGGAGCACACAGTGAAAAAATCCTGTTTAGGGATCTGACAGTATGCTCCCTTTACATTCTATTCTTGTCAAAGGTCAAAGGCTTTACTGCAAGATCAAGATTTAGGTATGTTCCTGAACCCAGGTAATCCAGAAATAGCAAAATGTCTGCCTGATTTGATGTCTGTATTTATGGGGAGAGGGGGAGAGGTGGAGGGTTGGCAATTGATTTTCTTTGAAAGCAACAGCTAAAGCAAGATAAAAATTACAGAACTAACTAGAGAGAAACAGATAAGAATTAGAGGTTTAAGCAGAATTTCATGTTTAGTGATTAAGCAGGATACATATTCCTTGTATGTAGACCAATGCCATAAAAACACACCTATCAAAAAGTGATAGAAGTCACTACTGTTCCTACAGAAAACAAGGAGCAGCTGGAACTGCACCTATGCTGAGCACCTTCCATACTGAGATCTCTCATCTGCAGAGAATTATTAAGATTTGGGAAGGCAGCCCATTTGAGAATCTTATTTTAACTAAATTTATCTTTCCCAAGAGTATGTCTTTTTCTTTTTAACAGTAAAAATATGTCACAGAATTTTAAACTTGCTGAGTAAAGAGGATTTCTGTAAAGTGGGTTTCTGATTTGCAAAATTCTTTGTAGTTCTTTCCATTTTTCAAAGGGGGGGGGCCATCTGTAATACTTTCAACAATAAAGATAAATTTTAAAAAAAGAAGAAGAAGAAAAGGCATGTTTCAGGAAGAGATACTCAGTTACCAAGAGTGGTTAAGGAGAAAGCAATAGAGAATGAGGGAAAGTAGCACTCTGGCTCCCTTTCTGACTTTATGTCTTTAATCCATATAAGACACCGACAGCTCTGTAGCTACCCTTTCTCTCCTAATCTGCTCCCCTTTACTGTCCTCATTTTCTCTTTCCCATGTTTATCCCTGCCCAAAACAACCAATGAAAAGGGATTCATGACCAGCTTTGACGAAAACACCCTTACTTTTTATTTTCTCTAACTTCAAGCCCGAGGATATCATCTTACCTCCACAAAAGGAGATCCCAGTAATGCTGAGCGTGAGTAACATAGGGATAGAAATTTTCAGGTAACTCCATTCTGCTCTGTTGTCTCCTGTCCACACAGCACCTTTGGACACCAGTAACAAGGTATTAAAAAAAAATCAGCTCATGCCCTTGATTTTATATTTAGATTCCTTATTTGCAATAGACAAATTAATTAAAGGAAAACATTTCTTCCTTAACTTAAAATATACAAATTCTGGTGTTCCACAGTGAAGATATGTTAATTTTCTAATGTAAAAAAGTTATTAAAATTGACATAACAACTTGTGAAAATATTCTGAAATTACACTTATTTTTGAAGTCAACTGAAGTCTGATTTTAGGAGGGACATTTTTAAGAATCAACTTTACTCAGATATAATTTACATACAATAAATGTACCTATTTTAAGTGAAGACTTTAGTGAGTTTTAAAAATGTGTACATCATGATACTGGCTTCTAAATCCCAGAATTAGATAGATTTCTGTAACAGCAAAAGTTCACATCTTTGCAGTCAATTACTCCCTAACCCTACCCAACCACTGATTTGATTTCTATGGCTATAAATTAGTTTTTTCTATAATTTCATATAAATGGAAATATAATATATACTCTTTTGTGTTCTATCTTTTTTCACTCAGCATAATATTATAGTTTACTCCTTTTTATTTGCTGAGTAGTGTTCCATAGTAAGGATACATTGTAAGTTGTTTATACATTCACCTATTGATGGACATTTGGATTCAGTCCAAGTTTGCACTATTATAAACAAAGCCACTATAAACATTTGTATACAAATCTTTATGTGGCATGTTTTCATTTCTCTTGGGTAAATACCTGGGAGGGGAGTTGATGGGTCCATGCTCAGTGTATATTTAACAATTTAAGAAAAATTCCAAATCATTTAGCAAAGTTGTACTATTTTAAATTCTCAATAGATGAAAGTTTCAGTTGCTCTACATCCTTTGTCAATACTTGGTAGTGTCAGTCTTTTTAATTCTAGTCACTGTAATGGGTTTGTAATGGTGTCTGTGGTTTTAATTTATAGTTCCCTAATGACTAATGATATTGAGCATCTTTTCATTTATTTACTGATCATTCATGTCTTCTTTTGCAGAGTATCCAAATCTTTTGTTCATTTTTAAAAGCAGATTTTTAAAAAGTATTTCATTGTAAAAGTTCTTCATATATGCTGGATACAAGTCTTTTGACAGACAGAGATGTATATTACAAATATTTTCTTTTAATCTGTGGCTTTTCATTTTATTAACAATATCTTTGAAAGGGTAGAAGTTTCTAATTTTGATGAAGTTCAATGTATCTTTTTTTTTCTTTTATGGTTTATGCTTTTTGTGTTCTATTCAAGTGATCTTGGCCTATCTCAAAGTCACAAAGATTTTCTTCTATGTTTCCTTTTATAAGTTATCTGTCTGTTTGTTTTAGCTTTTATAACTTAGGTCTGTATTCTATTTTGAGTTACTTTTTGTGTGTGGTGTGAGGTAAGGGTTGAGGTTCTTCTCTCCCTAACCCCGCCACATGATAGTCTATTGTTCCAGCACCATCAATTAAAAAAAACACACACACACAAAAACAACCCCTTTTCTCCACTGAATTGCCTTGGTGAATATGGTGGAAACTAATTGATCATATATATGTTGGTCTCCATCTGGATTTTCTATTCCTTTCCACTGAACTATATGCCTATTTCCCCTCACCACCGCCCCCACCCCCAAAAACCCTCTATGACTTGAGAAGAGTGGTACGGACCATGTAGGGGAGACATAATAACAACAGCAGTAACACCGGTTATCATTTATCAAGCCCCTACTGAGCTACTTTGGTTATATTATCCCATTTAATCATCACAAAGACCCTACCAGGTAAACACTATTAGTAACTCCATTTTACAGATGACGGAAATATGGCAAACAGCGGGTATTATACTCTACCCAGAGTTACAGAGATACTATGTGGTAGAGGCAGGATTTGAGCTCAAGTGGTCTGACTCTAAAGTCAGTGCTCTTATTCAGTGTGTAGTTGGTAGGAGTTCGTGAAGATAGATGATATACCACTAAAGAGATCTCTAAAAGAGAGCAATCTTATTTTACTGTATCTAGATTACTCCTGAAGCATTTTTGTCTGTTTTGGTAGCAAAATAGTTTTGGTAGCTATTTTTTGTTTTAGTCTTCTATATAAATTTTAGGCCATATAGGGGAGAAAAATTATGGCCAGCAAGGAAAAAAAAATTATCTATCTATCTATCTATCTATCTATCTATCTATCTATCTATCTATCTATCTTCATTCCCACCCCCAAGGGACTGTTGTTTTTAAACAGTACTCTAATAGTTTCTCCTTAACTTCAAATAAAATATGTTTACATTTACATAAATATTTTGAAATCCACATGATGGCATTCTCATCAAGAAAGTAAGTTCAAAAAGCAAAAAAAAAAAAAAAAAAAGCAAGTTCATGTAAACATATAGATGTTTTCATGTTTTTCATGGGTGTTTAGTCAGAAGTGCTCTCTGGCTATTGCTCTCAGCACATGACAACACAATAGTGAATTCTGTACAGCTTCACTCGCTATTCTTTGGGGCAAAGCTGATATCTTCACACAAAGTACCAAGGACTAGGCAGTAGGCCAACAAAGATTACTCAGAATGTATATTTTTTGTTAACTACTACTTATAAATGCTTTCATTAAAAATACTTAATTTTTTTAGTGACTACAAATGATGCTTGTAGAGAATTTGGCAAATAGAGATAGGTAAACAGAAGAGAATTAAAATCACTTATAATCACCAAGGTACTGTACTTACTTAGATTAATATACATAGCAATGTATATTATATATTATATATGCACAAAAATAGGGATAATATATAAACATTTAGGAATTCTTTTTTTTTTTCCATTTATCATAATGTCAAACATTTTCTCATGCAATTAAGGCTATTTTAAATAGCTTTATGACAGTCTAACATAAATATACTATAGTTTTATAACTATTCCCTTACATGTTTGGATTTTCTTTCTTTTTTGTTTCAAGAACTAACTGTGGTGAGCATCTCTGTACATGAACCTTTGCTTGAGATGACAATATTTTATATGGTCTTTTCTTGAGCCCCACAGGGACAGGTTTGCAGGGGTGGAGTAGGAGGCCTGGTAATGCCTATAGTACAGAAAAGGCTGGATTTTTCAAACTAGGACCTAAGCTCCCAGTTATTTATGCAAGATCAGAGGACTTAAAATAGCCTTCCTGCCACAGGGTGGTTAAGTTGAACTAGATCTGCATTAGCTAGTAAACCAGATCCGGTTATAGATGACCCTGACCACAAGCACCAGCCAGGTCTATTTTAAGCCATATTGCTCAGTGGAACAGGTGGTTGAAGGAAGCACATTTTCCCTGGTTTTGATAAATCAAAGAAACAGGATCAGAGATGACCATCCCAGCAAACTGAGATACTCTGAAATCATTCACCCAACAATTAAGCGGTCATTTCTTTAGTGGGAAGTGAGTAACTAAACTTGATTAAAATTGGTTTTCCCTGCTCATAGGACAAAATACACATTTTAGAGCACATCTAAGGCTACTGCACAATGGCTACTGAAAAGGAAAGCATTAACAGCTCTATAAAGACTTGTGTTTTTAAGCTGATCATCTGAGCCATTCCTTACCATACTTTTGTGATCCAGCAAAGAAAGAACGTGTAAGAACAAAGGGTCTCTCCTTTCCCTTAGATCGTTGTATCAGTCCTTCTGCAGTAGCCTTTTGCTATAAAGTCAAAAGAGAAAAATTTCAAACAGATGACTGGATGAGGGCATTGTGTAGACATCCCCAATATACTATTTAACATGTGAAAAGTAAATAGGTAGGAATGGAAAATATTAAAATAAATCCATCAAGCAATTTTCATGATGTAATGAAACTACTCTAAACTCCCTTATTAAAAGAATGAAAAATTTATTTGATTAAAATAGCAATAAAATAATAGTAAATAATAAGCTAGCATTTATTTGGTGCTTACTATTATTAGGCATTTTATAAAATTTCCTCTTATCATCTACACAACAGCCTCTGAGATAGTCTTCATTAATGAAAAAAACAAGAGATTCAGTGAGGTTAAGTGACTGGCCCTGGCCTGCATAAGAAAATTTTCTAAAGTAGTTTGCAATTATAGCAAGAAGTTGTTATAGAACTAAACACATCCTACCTGAAAACCACACTATATCTAGCCAGCAGCTCCCACTGGAAAATACCAGTTGGTGGGAGGGCCATAAAAACAGTTACATTCTAAAAATAACAGAGAACCATGGGTATAAATTAGGGCCAGTGAGTACCAAGTCTTTTAGATGGAAGACAATTCTATCACTTTCTATCGAGAAAGCTAAGTACTTAAGGAACTTTTCTATGTTTAAATAGCGTATTTATTAAAATTGTATATGTGTATTCTAAATCTTACTTACCCTGGTATAAATGTAAGACTTAATGTATTTAGACATTTGTGAAATTTCAAAACATTTAATTGCCTTTATGTATTTACTGCTTATTTCAATAAAAGTTTTGAGGTAGTATCCAATGGCTCTTGTCAAGGAAGATATTTCTATGTTATCATTAATCTCACAATATCTGTGACTTCATCAAGTTCATTATAGAAAGATGCAAAGGGAGCAATAAGTATATTGGCTATAACTTGATAAGACTCACTGCAGTTGTCAGACAGGACACACAAAGGAAATGAACAGAATAGTATAACTTTCAGCCCAAAAGGCAGGGCACATGGGTACCCTGTTGGTTTCCTCTTGGATGTCTTACCTGATAAAAACCATAGATATTGTGAAGTTCTCTGTGCTCCCAGTTGCCATGATGAATGGCATTCTTCTGCATGGTTTTCTCTGGCCCTCTAAAGACAGAGGGCTCATTCATGTCATTCCAAATGTAGAGAATGTCAGTAGATCCCTAGGAAAGAAATCTTGGTCAAGATAATACTTCTACAGTGATGATGTTAATATGACAACTGCTCCTATTCCTCTTTCCTACTCCATTTAATTTATTATTTATTATGTTTATTATCTGTGCTCTGTCCTTTGCTCCACTGCTAGAATAAAAAGCTCCACTGGGCAGTGAGTTCATTGATAGATCCAAATACCTAGAGCAGTACCTGAACCACAGAAGGTTCTCAATACTTAGTTGCTGATGAATGAAAGAATGCTGTGCTCTATTGTCTGTGAAGTACATATTCCCCAGCAAGTTCGCTCGGAGATCTACCTGGAGAACCCCCACAGGAAAGGATGTGGATGTTCACAACTAGGCTCTATGTCATCCATCGTCTGCTACAACTCTTAACTGAGGGAAGGGCAATTGTAGTTGTACATGATACAATTCGGCCTTCCCTCTAAGACTTTGAAAAATTTGACAGCTAAGATGCCTGCTTGTTAGCATGATCTGTAGTTTGTGTTCTACATAGAATTGGTCAATATAGAGTGGGAAGGGGCAGTTGAGTCATCTGGTTAACATGGTCTTACAATCCCTTTATAGTCCCTGGTCTCAGCATTTGACTCAAAAGATACAATGACAAGGAGTCCCTCAGGCAGTTCATTTCATTATTTTCTGAAAGTCCTGCTCCTGGTAACACCCTCTCGCAGGGCCTAGTTTGCCTTCTGGGATACCACAGAATACTGTTGCCTCACCCACAGGATACTCTTTCAAATGCCTAAAGGAAGCTTGTGTGTTTTCTTTGGACTCTACTTTTAACTATTTCTAACTATGTGTACATCTATGAACAAGCCTATATAGTTTTCAAACATTTAACTATCTTGACTGTTCTTCTTTAGCACCCTCTAGGGCAAGGATGGTGATCTTTTTCTGGAAAAAGCCAGATTTTCAACTTTGCAGGCCATAAGGCTTCTTTTTCTATAACTCAACTCTGCTCTGGCAGCGTGAAAGCCATAGACAGCAGGGAAATGAATGAGCATATGGCCCAAGTGTTGTTCATCCCTGCTCTGGGTTATTCTCTGTGTCCTAGTACGTGGTGCTCAGAGACTAGCATTGAGTGGTTAAGAGCTGGGCTGGGGAGACAAACAGAATGGACTTCAAATCTTGGGTCCACCGCTTACTTACTAGATAGGTGAACTTAGCAGGTTTTTAAATTTGTTCATGCCTCAATTTCCTCATCTGTGGGAGTAGTCAATTATAGTTCCAACTTCAGAGGTTTATAGTGAAGATAAAATGGTATATGCACAGAAAGTGTTTAGCACACTGCTTGGCACATAGCAAATACTCAATTTATATTAGGCATTATTATCTTCATCTCAATTGGTTGAAGAGAGTTCTCTAAATGTGGCCTCTCCAGTTTTCTCTGTGTTTTTCATTAAGATTTTATGAATTGATTTATTATTACACCTTACTTTTAATGACATACTTTGCAAGATATTTTCACATATATCATTATCATCTTTAAATAATAGTTACAATGCTATTTTATACAAAAAATTAAAGTAATTTGAAAATATAATAAATCTCTACTACTAAGTACTTTGATACATCATAGAGTCTCCTAGAATAGAGGTTAAAACCACAGCTTTGTGCATTTACTAATACACATGGCACCTCTCCTGGAACCACCTGAGTCTGTAACGTGATTCCACCCTTGCCCTTTCATACAAGCATTATTTATCAGGGGCTATTTAATGAAACGGAGTGATTCTAGTCAACCACTTTTTTCCCCTTCTTTCATCATTTCAAGTAACTAGGAAAGAGCAAACAAATAAAAACAAACCTGATACACAGAGAAAGCAAAAAGACCTGAGTACCACTCTCTGACTTTGGGATTGGTGAAATCCAGGTAAGAGGAGAGACCTGTAGAGGCAGAAGAGTAGACAGCCTGTTAGAAGCACCAGTCCTCATAGTAAGTAAAATGTGTTGTAAGGAGGAATATCGGTGTGAAAACTCGGTAGTCAATGGGCATCAAATGGAAAAGACAGCTGATTCAGAGGCATGGTCTGGCGAGAAGAGAAGGAAGGCAATGCTGGACTCCAGTGACAGTCTACTAGACCTTTTAACCCCGAGGCCCAGGGGCATGCCTGTGAACAAGTATCAGGATGGAGCCTGTCCCTCACTGAGATAGCCCAAATAAGGATGGCAAGTATTCTGCAGTGACCTCTCTGTTCTTAAGGAGAACAGAGAAGTGTTCATAACTGACAAAAGGGGGAAATGCATGGGGTTTCTCTACCGTGCATGGATTTATGAGAGTGCTATGACATGAGAGAGTGGTGATTTCCTTTTGCCCTTGAGGAGTCTCTACCAAGGCTTTAAACTAATAATTTTGAAATGAAAAATCTAGAGTCACCAGAGGCAGCTGAGGCCACTCATGAAAGTCTGGGAAGTCAAAAGTATGGGTAACAAGGCAAAGCAGAATGGCAGGGCCCTTTTTCTTTCTCCTCCTCTCCTTTTCTCATTCCCTGGCTTTTCATTTTTATTTGCTTAGAGAAACAGCATGCCACTGACGTTTGCTTGTTTTTCATTCACTCTATGACTGATCAATGTATAAAAAGTACATTGTATCAGTATTATGACATATATAAAAGAAGACAATACTCTCTCTTTCTTAAAGGTGCTTAAAATGTAGCAAGAGATATCTGCAAGGAGTAAGAACAACGGCCATGAAACCTTCATTAATTGGGACCGAACAAGGGAAATAAGTGTATAAAGTAATTTCTTACCCGGCCAGCATATTCCTTCAAAGTCTTCCCCTTTATGATTCTTCACAAAGAAGCCCTGTTCTTTGGCCTTAGCGTACACTGAGTAGTCAGGATCAATCTTGATGTGGGGGTCACTGATGACCACAAGCTGTCAGGAGGACATAAAGGTTTGAAGCTCTCATCCTATGGGCCATATAATCATTTATATGTTCTCATCATAGTTCTTGGGTTCAGATTTTACTCAGAAACAACTACTAGTTTTGAAATAGTTCATGTACTTATAGAAATATAAATTGATGTCAAAAGCAGGCCAACACTCCTTTATAATTATTGCTACCAAATCAACACGTTTTTAAGATAACATTTATCAAACTATTATTTGATAACATTTATCAAATGTTAAAGATAACATTTATCAGAAGTTTGATCTCTGATAAATGTTATCTCCTAGACATCTAGAAGCTAAGATAACACTGACAAAAGCAAACATCAAAGAAAACAGGAGAACAGCATGTTAAAAAGAAACAGAACTCCCAAACCCAAAGGTACAGGTATATTGAGGAAGGAAGTCTGAAAAAAGCTGTGGTCACAGCTCTGTGTCTCTAGCATCTCTCCTTTCCTTTCTAACACCATTATTTCTACCTAGTCGTGGGCCTCAATACCGTTTTATTTGACTAGAACAACCTTTTCATCATCCCTCTTTATATCTATTCAAATTTATTCTACATACCAAAGTTTAATTTTTCACTGCTCAAAAACTTTAATGTAAAAATTTTAAATTGTGGTAAAATATGCATGACATAAAATTTACTATCTTATCCATTATATTTTTAAAATTTTACTAAATATTCTTTTAATCCTTGCCTGGAAATATGTTTTTATTGCTTTTGAGAGAGAGAGAGAGAGAAGTATCAATGTGAGAGAGAAACATCGATCAGTTGCCTCCTGTACATGCCCTGATTGGGAATTGAACCTACAACCTGTTGGTGTACGGGAAATGCTCCAACCAATTAAGCCGCCCAGCCAGGGCCCATTTGAACAATTTTTAAGTGTTGTGTTAAGTACATTCACATTCTTGTTCAATTAATGTCCAGCACTCTTTTCATCTTGCAAAACTGAAGCTCTAGACCCCTTAAAGAACAACTCCCCATTCCCTCCTCCCCCGTTCCCTAGCAACCACCATTTTTCTATCTGTCTCTGTGATTTTGTCTACTCTAGGTATTACAGGTTAGTGAAATCATATAGTATTTGTCTTTTGGTGATTGGCTTATTTCACTTAGCATAATGTCCTCATGGTCCATCCATGTTGTAGCATGTGTCAGAATTTCCTTACTTTTTGGTGCATTTCCTTACTTTTTAAGGCTAAATAATATTCCACTGTATGTATATGCCACATTTTGTTTATCCATTCATGTATTGATAAACATTTGGGTTGCTTCCACCTTTTGGCTATTGTATGTGAATAATGCTAATATGAACATAGATGTATAAACTTCTGCTCAGATTCCTGCTTTCAGTTCTTTGGGTATACACCCATAAGTGGATCAGACAGTAATTTTACTTTATTTATTTTTTTTATGAACTGTCATACTGTTTTCCATAGAGGCTGTACCATTTACATTCCCATTATTGGTGCACAAGTGTTGCAGTTTCTGTACATCCTCACCAACACTTGTTATATTCTGGGTGGTTTTTTGTCTGTGTGTTTGTTTTTGTAGTAGCCATCTTAATGGTATGAAGTAGTATCTCACTGTGACTTTGATTTGCATTTACCTAATAATTAGTGACAATGAACATATTTTCATGTGCTTGTTAGATGTGTATATCTTCTTTGAAGAGTTATCTATGGAATCCTTTTCCCAGTTTTTAATTGGGTTGTTTGTTTTTTGGTTGTTGAGTTGTAGGAGTTCTGCATACATTCTGTATATTGACCCCTTATTCAAAAACATTTAATGTCTTCAAATGCATATATAAACAGCCTACAATAAGGTTGGATTCCCCACTACTCAAACTGTGCCCATGCTGTTTTCCTCTCAAACCAGGTGGTGAGCTGCTTTCCAAATACCACTGGGTGCTCCAGCCCCTGGTTGCACTGCCCTCTTCCCTCACTCCTTGTCTCCACTGGAAACTCATCCTTCAGGGCTCATCTAACACACACAAATCCCTGCTTGAGGCCAGCAGGATGCAACCTTCTTTCTCTTAGTCCACCCCACCCCCACCCTGACCTTTCTTTGGCCATTACACTACTGCCCTGTATTGTGGTTGTTGTATACTTACGTCCCCCCCACTCACTGTTTAAGACCCCCAAGGGGCTCATCTCTGCATTTCCTTCATCTTTAGCACAGTATCTTGAATATTCAAAGGCCTCAATAAATAACTGCTTAGAAGGAAATAGGCTAGCCAGTGTGGCTCACTGGTTGAGTGTCAACCCACGCACCAAGAGGTCGCCAGTTCAATTCTCGGTCAGGGCACATGCCCTGGTTGTGGGCCCAATCCCCAGTGGGGGGCATGCAGGAAGTAGCCAATTGATGTTCTCTCTCATCAATGTTTCCATCTCTCTCTCCCTCTCCCTTCTTCTCTCTCTAAAATCAATAAAGAAAAAAATTTTTTTTTAAAAAAGGACACAGGTTCTGAAGTCAGGCAGATCAGGGTTCGAATCCTTGCCTTGCTACTTATTCATTGTGCACCTTTGTGCAAAATACAGAACCATTCTAAGCCCCTGTTTCTTCATCTGAAATATGGGGTAACAAAATCCGCTTCATAATTTTGTGATGACTAGATGGAATAATGTGTTTTATCATATTCTCTGGGTCATAATAAGTGCTGGATAAATAGTAGCTATTTACTAATTGGGAAAATAGGATTTAACAGGATTGGTTCTGACCACCTGTGAAAGGCCTCAGATTCAAGGAATGGTTTGAAAGGCAACTTTAATGTCAGGGAAAGGGAGTGCAGGGATCCACTTACATGATACATATGGTTCCCCTCTCCTTCTCCTTTATCCATTTTCTTCTCTTCCTCCTCCTTTTCATTATTGCTATTACCACTACCACCACCCTTGCATTGCATATGGTCCAGTATCTTTCCCCCTCCCCATTTTCTAGTTTAGTTCTTTCCTTGGCCAGATTGACAGGTGCAATCCATCAGGGAAGCATGTAGGAAAAATGGTGTAATAAAAAAAAAAATCAACTTTGTTTTTGATGGACTGTTAAGAGCTTTCAAGCCCCACTTTTCTTCCTACATTTGTGCATGCTGATGAAAAAGCCCTGATGCTCACTCCTTTGGTGCCAGCAGAAAGTTCAAACCACACAAGCCCTGGCACATGCTCAGGAGTCTGCACCCCAGCTGAACTCTCTATCATGGTAAACGCTGAGCCAGGCTCCTTTCCCAGCTCTCTCAAGCCAAATTCAAATGAGCCTGGGAGCCAGCCTTGCTCCCCACCGAATGCTTTACTATGTGGCTAATTAATATTTTAAAAATTAATTATTTATTGCCCTGGCTGGTTTGGCTCAGTGGTTAGAGTGTCGGCCCATGGACCAATAAGTCATGGGTTCAATTCAGGTCAAGGGATGTACCTCAGTTGCGGTTCGTCCCTAGCCCTGGCTGGGTTGTGCAGGAGGCAACCAATCAATGTGTCTCTCTCACATCGATGTTTCTCTCTCCCTCTCTCTCTCTCCCTCCCTCCCATTCTATCTGATGATAAATATAAAAATATCCTCAGGTGAGGATTTATTTTTTAAAAGTATTTATTTATTTATTTATTTTTATTTTATTTTTATTGTTGACACTATTACAGATGTCCCACCACCTTTGCCCACCTCTATCCAGTCCCTGTCCCCCGTTCCCTCTGGCCCTCACCACACTATTGTCTGTGTCTATGGATTATACATATATGTCCTTTGGCTAATTAAGCTTAGTACTAGTGTGACATCATCAATCTCAACATCAGAACCAAACTTGGCATGGGCAGGGGGGTCCATCACAATACTACAGGGTGGCCACAACAAATGGGCCTGAATACTAGGCCCCTTCATCCTTGTGGAGATGTACGCAATTAAGGCAGGGATGGATGGATCATCACCTTTTCACTATTGCTTTTCTGTTATCACAGTTTCAATTGCATTTGAAGGTGCTATTTTAAAAATCAGATAGTTCTCCACTAATGTGCCAAAGCAAATTTTAAAAAGTGCTTGTAATGAAAGGGTTCAGAAATGTTAGTTTATTTTACCTTACGTTTTTTGTTTCGGAGCAGCTCTTGCATCCTTTGGGGGTTTGGGAATCGTTTCTTGTCCCAGGTGAAGTACCTTTTGCCCTTGGTGTGCTCTATGTCCAGCCATATAACATCGTAAGGAATGTCATGTTTGTCAAAGCCTGCATCCACTGCTTTTACATCCTGCTCATCTTCATAGTTCCAGCGGCACTGATGGTACCCCAGGGAGAAGAGGGGGGGCATGGCTTGTGTTCCTAAAAGAGGACAATAACAACTGAGCCAATACCACCACATTGATCATTCTACATTTGATAAACATTTCCTAAATGCCTACAAGGTCCAAGCACTCAGCTTGCTACTTAGATTAAGAAGAAAACATAGTACCTACCCTCAAGAAAGCGACAATTTGGCTGATGAGGCAGGCATGTAAATGAACTGCTCTGCTATGAGGTACAAATGCTCTGTTAAAGGTATCAGCCTAGTGCTATGGAAACAAGAGGGGTTATAAATTCTACCTGTAGTGAAGCGTGGAGTCTTGAAAGGCTTCAAAAAGGTAGTAAGACTTGCTTTGGACCTTGAAGAACAGGTAGGAGTATATACCAAACAGGGAGAATGGATAGAGCATTCAGGTACAGGAAATAGAAAAGACACAGAGCAGAGAAGTACATGATAAGCTCAGGGAAAAAGAAATATTCCAGGGTGGTTATACTGTGAAGGAGACCAGCAGAAGACGAAACTGGGGAGCACCAGTTTGGAAAGGGCCCTGTAGTTCAGGCGACGAATTCTAAATCTTCTCTTATGAGAAATTATCAAAAGTCTGGCAAGTTGCCCTGACCGGTTTGGCTCAGCAGTTGGAGCATTGGCCTGTGGACCAGAGAGTCCTGGGTTCGGTTCCCGCTAGTGGCACGTACAAAAGAAAAAAATTTATTAAAAAAAAAGTTTGGCAAGTTGTAACCTTAGCAGACATATGTTTTAGAAGAATTAGTTAGGGAGCAGCATTGAGACTGACTTGAAGGGGAAGAATGAAAGCAGGAAGAACTGTCAGAAAATTATCAAAACATTTACTGAATACATGAAGAACTTCTGGTCAATCACTCACCTGATCTCTTTCCCTTCCTAAAGTCTCACTAAAATCAGAGGAAAGAAGAGAAAAAACAAACCCACAAGAACAAAGAGAACAAAATTCTGGAAGGCAGCAGGCAGGGGAGGGGTGGTAACTGTGGGGCAAAGCCAGGGAAATTCTCACCAGAGTGCTTGTGAGGGGAATACTGATGAGAAGGGCTCACCCCTGCTCCCAGAATATTAGTAGATATTCCTCTCCCAATACCAGTGTAAGATTCATCAGGCACACAAAGCTTCCAGGGCACAGCCTTATTCTTCCAGCTAGCCAAGGATCACCCATTTGAGTAAACCCTCCAAAATTTGAGGGACCCACATAAAGAAATAGAATAAAAGGGTGTCTGAGAAAAGAGGGACAATATAAGGAACCAAAGGAAACATCAAAGCATTATCATTAGTATCTCCAGAGAGATAACAAAAGATATTATACTCATAAAATAAAACTAGGCTAGCAAAAACAAGGATATTAGAAACAGGAATAATAATCAGTCTGTAAAAATTAGAAATATGATAGCATAAATGGAAGGCCTAAAAGATAAAATTAAGAAAATTGCTCAGGCCTGGCTGGTGTGGCTCACTGGTTGCACATTGACCCATGCACCAAAAGGTTGCTGGTTTGATTCCTGGTCAGGGCCCAGGTTGTGGGCCAAATCCCCAGTAGGGGGCATGAAGGAGGTGGCCAATCGATATTCTCTCTCATTGATGTTTCTATCTCTCTCTCTCTCTCTCCCTAAAATCAATAAAGTAAAAATATTAAAAAAAAAAAAAAGAAAATTGCTCAGAAAATAGACGAAAATGGAAGACTACAGGGTGGCTACAACAAATGGGCCTAGATACTAGGCCCCTTCATCCTTATGGAGACCTAGACAATTATGGCAGGGATGGATGTCATCACTACCTTTTCACCATTGCTTTTCTGTTAGCACACTTTCAATTGCATTTAGGTACTATTTTCATGGCCATTTTATTTTATTTTATTTTTTTAGAAAATATCTACATTTAATGGACAACTTATTTTCAATAAGGTGAAAGTTAATACAAGGGTGAAAGGATAGTCGTTTCAAAAGGTGCTTAGACAATTGGATAACCGTATGCAAAATAATGAATAAATGAACAAAACTTTGACCCATACTACATACTCTATGCAAATATTAACTTAAATGCAAAACTTAAAACTATGCAAATCTAGGAGAAAACAAGAAACTTTTTTCATGATCTTGGGTTAGGCAAAGATTTTTTTTTTTTTTTTTATCCTCACCCGAGGACATTTTTCCATTTTTCACTCAGATAGAGTGGGAAGGAAAGAGAGGAAGAGAGAGAAACATTCATGTGAAAGGAACACATCGAGTGGCCGCCACCCACACGACCCAACCAGGGCCGGGGACAAACTGCAGCCAAGGTACATGCCCTTAGCGGGAACCGAACCCGGGTCTCTGTGGACCGCAGGCCAACGCTCTAACCGCTGAGCCAAACCGGCCAGGGCTAGGCAAAGATTTCTTAGATGTAGTACTAAAAGCACAATCCATAAAAGAATAAATTAATAAATTGGACTTTGTAATAATTAAAATTGTTCTTTAAAAACCACTGTTAAAAAAATAAAAGGACAGCCCTGGCCGGTTTGGCTCAGCAGTTAGAGCGTCGGCCTGTGGAACAGAGAGTCCTGGGTTCGGTTCCCGCTAAGGGTGTATACCTGCACCCCCATTGGGGTCGTGTGGGCGGCAGCCACTCAATGTGTCTCTCTCACATTGATGTTTCTCTCTTTCTTCCTCCCTCTCTCCTTCCCGCTCTATCTGAAGATAAATGAAAAATAAATAAATAAATAAATAAAAGGACAAACCAACACTGGGAAAAAATCTTTGCCAAGTATACATATAGTAAAAGACTAATGTCTGGAACATACAAAGAATTCTCATAATAATATACAACAAAGAATCCATTTTTTAAAGGGGCAAGAGGTTTGAACAGACACTTCACCTAAAAAGATATATGAATGGCAAATAAGCACAAGAACAGATGTTCAATATTATTAAGAAATGCAAATTAAAATTCTGATGTAATAGGGCAAAGGTTCTTTGCCTGGAGTTGCTGTAGCTTTCTGCTTCAGCAACTCTTCTATAGAACCCAGCTCTCACCCCATCCAGCTGGCCAGCCCTCTGACACCTCATAGACCCGTCAGGCCATCGCCAGGCCCCTGCTGCCTGCCAGGAAGACCAACACCCCATGCAAGTGGACCAGAACTACCACAAAGACTCAGAGTTCACTTCATGGCCATTTTAGAAGTCAGATAGTTTTATAGAGTAGAAATAGAAACAAGAGAAGAAATTATCAAAGGAATAGAAAAGACTATTTTCTAGAACTGATTGAAAGAGTCCACATCTAATACCCAGCACAATGATTATTTTTAAAAGTCTATTATCACCCTGGCCAGTGTGGTTCAATGGTTAGAGCATCAGCCCACACACCGAAGGGTTGTGGGTTTGATTCCCAAATAATGGCACATACCTGGGCTGCAGGTTTCATCCCAGCCCTAACGAGGCACTTGTGGGAGGTAACCAATAGATGTGTCTCTCTCACATTGATGTTTCTCTCTCTCTTTGTCTCTCTCTCTCCCTCCTCCCCACACCCTCCCTCCCTCCCACTTTTTCTAAGAATCAATGGAAAAAATATCATTGGGTGAGGATTAATAAACAATTCTGAAAGAAATAATTTTCAATCTAGCTAGCCAAATTATCAAGAAAGGTAGAAGAAAAGGTGTTTCCATAACTGCAATGATGCAGAAAGTGTACCTCTAATGCACACTTTCTTAGGAAATTACCACAAGATGCTTTAAATAAACAACAAACAAAAACAAGAAGGCAATAAAACACAAAAAAAGAAAAACACAGGACCCAAGAAAGAAGAGATCTATCATCAGAAAGCAACAAATGTAAGTCCTAGGACAACAGCAGGCAGAAAACCAAGGATGATGCTGTGCAGGGAGCCTAAAGAGCAACAGTCCTGATGGGAGCAGGATGGAGTGACCTGGAAGGGAAGTCTCCAGGAAAAAAGTGGAATGAATAAAGTATCTGACATCCTTGGGCATTTTGAAAAATGTAAACACAGAATATTGATGGAACCAAAATTATGCTAATAAAAGTATCAGGAGTGAGAAGAAAGATAATTCTTGAGTTAAATCTTCATCAGGAGCCAACATATAATCTATAAACTTATAAATAGAATTTCTTTGAACATGATGGCAGATCCAGTGTTTCTGATAGACTTTCCTATAAATCAGGTTTATTCTCCATAATAACAATGTTGAAAGGGCCTGTAGGTGGGCCTCGACGGTACTTATTCCTATATGAGTGTCTTCCCATATCCACAAATTCTTTGTTGTTCCTACGATTAAAATTGGAATCAAATTCCTCTTCCCTTAAACATGGGCTGGACTCTAGGACTTTAAAACAATAGAATGAGCAGAAGTGATGCTACATTACTTTTATTTATTTTTAATTTTTAAAAAATCCTCACCTGAGGATACTTTTCCATTTATCTTGGGAGGTAGGAGGAAGAGAGAGGGAGAGAGGGAGAGGGGGAGAGAGGGAGAGGGAGAGGGAGAGGGAGAGGGAGAGGGGGAGGGGGAGGGGGAGGGGGAGGGAGAGGGAGAGGGAGAGGGAGAGGGAGAGGGAGAGGGAGAGAGAGAGAGAGAGAGAGAGAGAGAGAGAGAGAGAGAGAAACATCTATGTTTCTCCCGCATGACCCCAGCCAGGGCTGGGGACCAAACTGCAACTGAGGTTATGTGCCCTTGACCGGAATCAAACCTGTGACTCTTTGGTCTTTGGGCTGACGCTCCAACCGCTGAGCCAAATGGACCAAGACTATTACTTTTATTTTTAACACATATACCATACAATTCACCTACTTACAGCATACAATTCAATATTTTTTGGTATATAACATTACCAATTTTTAATAACTGGAATAAAATATATATAACATAAAATGTGCCATTTTAAAGTGTACAATTCAGTGGCATTAATTACTTTCCAGTTTAGTACAAGCATCACCATTAGCTATTTCTAAAATTCTTATATCACCCCAAACAAAAACCCTGTCCAGGGGAACGTCTGGCCCTTGGGCCGTATAAGGCCCACTA